AGTAACAAATTAATACCACTGTTTTAAATAGCAGCCGTTGAGCTGCGCGTGCTGAAGCTGAAGAGCTGAGTGAACATGGTAAACTGAAGCGTTTTGCTGGCAGCTTATTTAACTCAAGGAAATGCATCCTGAGATTAATATTAATACCACATAAACATAATATTACAACTTATATATGTACAAAATGATGCAGTTATTGCGTGCTATAGTCAGAATGTGTGATCCTGTTGTGGATGCGCTCTTCCCATAACAACGCGCTGAAACACGGCAACTAAACCCATAGAATTCACAACGTTTTATTATAATAATGTTCTCATTAGAATGTTATATACACGACATTCCCAATCATAGTTATTAATGTTGTGCACTGCTGTTTGAGCTGCGTGCGCTGAGCTAAAGATGATCACCAGTAAACTGAAGCGCTCTTTTAACTTAACCAAACGCATTCTATATGAGATAAATCAGATATACATCAAATAAACACAATATTACAACGTACAATTGCACAAAAGGCTGCAAACGAACAGCGCGCATCTGAAGTGTCTCTGAAGGAAATAATGCATTATTTATCGGCTTTAAGATATCGGCCAAATTTTCTTATCAGGCCGATACCGATAACAGAAAAAATAAGCATTTATCGGCCGATACCGATATGGTGGCCGATATATCGTGCATCCCTAGATCTTAGAATTAAAAAGTAGGTAGTCAGTCTTTCTTCTTTTTGAGCAGAATTAATCTCATTCTTGCCTGAAAGGCTAAATTAAAGTTCTGTCAAGAAGGACATGTTAGACCAGGCTCGACCGGTCCTGCAGAGTTTTGCTCCAAACCCCTATACAAACTCACCTGCCTGTTGCTTTCCAGTAACCCTTAGAACCATGATTCGCTTGTTCAGGTGTTTGATTAAGGTTGGAGCTGAACTCTGCAGGACAGCGGCTCTCCAGGACCAGCGTGTGCCCCTATGCCCCCAACCCCTATGTTAGGCAGAAGGGAAGTCTTATTTCTAAGGATGTGTAAGGAGTTTTCACTCTAAATTGTGATGTTATGCTTATGTTATTTTTATGATTATAGATTTATTCAGGAGAAAATGGACCTGTCCAGTAAAATAACACCAGCACAAGCAAAGAAAAAGTGGGACAATTAAAAAAAATCTATAAGGTAAGCCAAGATGTAGCGCCTTGTACAGTCCCATGTCTAAGTTGTCTCAACTCTATAAAAATGAACTTTTTAAGTTTCAATTCATATAGAATACATTATGTTGATAATAATTGGCACAGTCAAAAGATTCAGGAGCCCCTTCTGATCAATAATAAAAAATTCTGATCAAAAATTTGCCTTCCCATTACGAGGTGATATTTGACTCCTTAAAGTGATTTACAGGGGCTTTTTTTTTAATGGCATTTTTCTAATTTTATTAAAAGTATGTCATCTTTTATGTCAAATTCAAAAAAATTATATTCATAAGCTTTTTACACTTTCTAATTAAACAATAGAATAAGAAGAATAAGTTACCAATCATATAAAATCAGTATAAGCAAAATAATTTGTACTACAGAAGAGCACAGAAGAGGCTCGGAGGTGTATTTTCAGACATTTAATGAGGCTCAGAGGTGGCATGTTTTTTTTGTCTTAGGAATGCAAACATCCATGGTCAGGTGAGGGCCTGAACAACAGAAAGCCAACAGCTGAAACCTGGCCGTGGTTTGTTCTGATGGATGAGATGTTGGGTCAGCGGCCTTCCATTTCTCCCTGTTCTCATTGCTTCACTGCCTGATGACGAACCACAGCCAGGTTGCAGTTCTGTTGAGCCTACCTAGGAAGCAGCACAGCAGGAGAGCGCAGGGATAGAGCAGTCACGGCCAAGAAAGAGAACAAACAAATCAGATCCTCTTCTTGAGCTCCTGAAGGAAGACATGGCACGTCAGAAGGAGTGGGAAGAAAGGAGAGATGCAGAAGACAGGGCGAGGAGTGATAGGCTCTTTAATTTACTCAAAAAATTAATTGATACAATGTAACAAAAATATTTACTACTATTTATTTACAATATTTACTTACTATTGTTACTTACAACTATTAAAAAGGTAATTCTGTTGTCAACATTTCACTAAATCTTTAAATTAATACATTCTAAATGGCTAAACACAATCATTAATGAATAAATATCTTTGGTTACACATTAACAAAAATAAAAGATAAATCGTGAAAAAGATGTCAAGTGTTGTGTGAGCTCTCATGCTGACTTCCTAGTAAGCCTAAGAACAAAAGAAGAAGAAAAAAATATATATTCTGGGTTAAGGATTTTAAAATTCCATGAAAAGGTCATCAGTTATCCGTTTATAATGCTGTATAAACTATATTAAACTTAAGTATAGTTAATTATACATTTCAATTTAAAATCAGTATTTGTAGCCAAATTAAATTAAATTGTATTTAGTGTGTTCAACTTACTTTTTTAATTAGGATGATTTATGTAGTCGTGGTCCTGGTTGACATCCTGTAAGGCAGACATTTGGTTTCAAACGCCATGCTGCACCAGATACTGCCTCCCCTTGATTGCATGCCTCCACATCATCTTCCTCTTCTTCTTGGCTGTCGTCTGGTGGTATAATGTCGCCAACACCAAGGCAGATGTTGTGCAGCATGGTGCATGCCACTATCACCTGTATACACACAAATATAAAAACATTTTGTCACCCTAAATTGTAAATTCTTTTATCTGACATTGAAGTTGTGTGTTAAGTAAAGGTCAAATATACAGAAAAATAATGCAACCTTTGGTGCAAATGTTGGATGCACTTCAAGTGCCTGAAGGAAGATGGCTCTAAATCCTGTCTTCATCATTCCAAAAGCACGCTCAATAATTGAATCACGTGATTTTGGCAGTCGTTTCATACAATCACACCGGCGTGTTTAGAACATTAAGTGTGGCACAGCATTAGCTGCTAAATTCAAATCTTCTCGCTTTGGCTGGCGCTGAGCGAGACAGACGCGTTTTTACAGCGCTGTACTTTGTAACCAATCACACACGAGTCTGTTGAGCTTATGAATGCAAAGACCAATCAGAGGCGTTAAGATGAGTCATCGCTGAAATGTTTTGTTCAGTGCGCTAACTCGCTGCAGGAATTCTACTCTGACCATTCTCTCATCAGAAACAACAAAGTGCAGATGTACATACGATGCAAGTAGGATATTCATTTCACAGTGTAAACAGCTTCAGTGATTATACTGAGAGTTTTTGAGAGTGGTTAAAATGTTCTTTGCTTTCTTTCTGTACAATGAAAGTGTTATAATTAATTACAATGTTTTTATTAAGTTCATATTAAAAACAAAGTCAGTCATATATATTGGCATGACACCCATATATAGTACTTAAGTAAAAAGCCGGGTTTTTATGCGAAGTTTGATTGCACTATTAGGCTACTTTGCTCATAGCCCATTATAGATCAACTAACATAAAGGTGCAAAATGCATCTACTTACGCATATTTGAGAATCGAGATATTTCATGTTATTTCATGTTAACACATTTGGGAATGTTTCGAAAAAAAACGGGAAATAAATAAATAAATATCAGTTATATTTATATGGCTGCTGTATGACAGGCATTCACTCGTGCCCCCTCAAAAAAAAAAAAAAGAAATGAGTGCATGACGCCCCTGATTGTTTTAGAAACAAACTGTAACATATAGGCTACTGCAACAAAGTTAGCTTGACGTGATAGGCTTATTTGTTTAAAATGTAACCTTAAAAATAAATTTAATCTTAACGATAAATCAATAATGTCAAATAAATTGGCTTATAATATAGAAGAGAACATTTAATCCTCGATGTTTTGTAACTCGTAGATTTAAAATGAGTTTATTGTCGCTCTTGCAACATAGGGACTCACTACATTTGACAAAATGAAAAGGAAAAACCTTTCAGTTAGGCTCCTCTTGTCATCTACAGAAACTGTGAATATTGTCCTATTGCTGACACACCGTCGATGGCAAAGTTATGGTCGATTGAAAATTGCTGCGGCAAAATTCACTGATATCTTTTCAGCCTTAATAAATATTGTAGTGCACAAATGCTTGAAAGTGTTTCTTAAGTACAGTACAAACTACTTATCTATTATGTTCAGTCTATTATTATATGTGTTATCATTTAAATGAGTTTATCTCAATTTTTATCTGTCCATTTTTTACCTATGAAATCAGATTTGACCACAAGGTGGCGCCAACATGTTAATAAAGACCTGCTTCAGTGTTCTACATACTTCAAAAACAGGCAACTAACAAGAATTAAATGCTGAAAGAAATGTATTTCCATAGATTTCCATTCAATTCTACCCATCGTTTTAAAATGATAAAATTGCATCATTTATACAGAAAAATTATCTTTATTTTGCAGTTTTGCCAGTAGCAGTAATACAGGTAAAATTAGGGTACAGAAATTGAAAAATGAAAATAGCAGAGAATAACACATACATATAGAACAAAAGAATTGTAATTGTAAAAAATGTGAGCATAATAAATGTGTGCATAATTTATTTACAACATACGTCTAATATATATATATATA